ATGCGGGACTCGATCCCGGGACTCCAGGATCATGACCTGAGCCGAAGGCAGTCGCTTAACCGACTGAGCCACCCAGGAGCCCTGTTCCGTCATTTAACAGACACATTTTTATTCTCTTACGAGACTTACCAGGGTTTTATGGGTGGATGATAAAGACGGGCTTCTACAGATCCTGTCCCCAGCCCGCATATCCTCTGCGGCAGGTGAGAAGAACAGTGACTGCCTCCACGAGTTACTCTTACTGAGCATAGCTGCCCTCAGAGAAATCTCTAAAGAGAAATGTCTACAATGGCCATTTCCGAGGGTGGGTCTATGTCCACAATTTCTCTTCTCTGGCTCAGAGAAAGAAAACAGTCAGACTGGTCTCTTACACAGCAAGTCACCCACACAATTACCTTTCATGTTCACCAGATCCATTTATAAAGGAGTAAACTGGCCCTCGGACAGGGTAAGTGACGTAGCCAACGGTCATGCTTCTAGGAAGCTTCTCACCCGGCATGAGAATCCAGGTCTCCTGCTCGCTAGGCCCGTGTTCTGTCCAAAGGCCCATCAGGTCTGGGACACCTCGGTCATGCAAGGCTAGAGGACCTTCTACATGTAGATAAAAACATAACAGGCCAAGGGCTAGACTGGAACAGAAAAAGCCAGAACTTTGGCTTTGGAAGGGCAATTAAGAATCATCCAACCTGTCCACTATATATCCTTTTATATAACGATGAGTAAACTGAGGACTGGCTGAAAGTTGCACAGCCAGAAATGTCAGTCAGGACCAGAACCCAGGTCTGTGCCAACTTCATCATTCAACTGAGTAGAGAGCACAATCTGCAAATGTTACTATGGAGATGACAAAGCACTCAATCCACTGGATTTTTTTTCCTTAGCAGGTCCAGGCCATGCACAAAAATTATAAGGTGAGATCTTTGTCCTTCAGGAGCTTAGTCTAGCTCGAAAAATACACATGTGCATAGGAAAGCAGAATAACATAAAACCTCAACAAAGGCAGCAGCTACATTAAGAATTTAGAGGAGGCAGCGAAGCAGGCCATGTTCTATGTTGAAAGGCTTCCTGAAGGAGGGTAAGTAAAGCTGGGCTTTGAAGCATGCACAGGAGTTCAACGAACGCAACGGAACAGGTATGTTAGTCCAGGAAAAAGTTTCAACTTAGCAAGAAGTTCTGTGGGAGATGAAGCCAAAACTACAGATGAGGGCTGGGTCCTGGAGGTTGGGGAGCCTTTGCGTGCCAGGGCACGTCTTTTGGATTTGGGCCTATGGAATAATCGGTCTTCAAACTTGCTCAGGAGCAGAGAACCTGGAAGCCCCCGAGCTCTTCATGGAACGCCATGAGTGACAGATTATGCTTCATTCCAGGACAGTGTTAGTATCAGAAAATACAGGACTGTGGGTCTAGGCCTGAAGGAGAAAACCACAACCACAAGCATGCATGCCGTTAAACAAAAGACATCCACAAATCAGAATCGATCTTTTCCAAAGAGTTCCATCATCAGTTACATGCTGTTGGTTTCTTTCTTCTGTCCCCTGGAAGTGTGTGTGCTAGCAAACAACATGGGGCCATTGTTTTTCATAAAATAAAGGGCAGGAGAAACTTAAAAGGGGGGAACATTCTGAGAACTGACTTCTTTCCTTCAGATTAGGAATTCTAGAGGGCCAAGGTAATGCTACAGAGAGCAGAGTCCTCTCCAAGGCTCAGTTTCCCCATCTGACATGAAGTAGCTGAGGATGGGAGCATCATCAGAGACCAAGCTTTGGACACATGGTTGGCCCAGTAGGGTCCTCTTCACATTTCCTGGGCTCTCCAAACAATGAAAGGCATGGGAGAGTGGCCCTCCGTCCGTGCCCCTGGTTCTAGGCAGCACAGGGTAGTCTGGAGTGGGACCAGCTTGGCTACCAGCAGCTTCTGAAAAGGCCAGGGGTCAGCATGGGATGTCAACAGGCATTTCTGCGCAGAGTCCTGGAGTGAGCACGATACCACCCCTGCTGCTGACATGACTGACACTCTTCAGCGTGCTCCTAGATGCTTCTCTCCTCACCTGGGGGCTCACGTGCAGCCAGCTGGGGCACCAAGCCTTCCCGATGTCTCACCTTCAGCCTTGCAGGAAGCTGGGTGCCTTCCTCCCTAGGTCACCTGGCCAGGAAGGGGCAGCACCCAGTGCCCAGGATATGGGCTTCTACGAGCTGGCAGGGGCAGGGAAACCTTGCAGAGTCTGTGTGTCGTGTCCCCACTGCCTGGGGGAGCTGCGAGGTCACGAGGAGCCGGATGTAGTAGCCACCAAATACTGCCAGCAGGTGCTGGGCCATTTCCTGGAAGAGGCAGGGGAGCAGAGTGAGGGCCACTGAGAAGCATCTCATGCACGACGGGAAAGCCAAGTGGTCCTCACAGCCCCGGACCAGCAGTGATGCTCACTGGGAAGAACCCTGCCAGGTCCTCACCTGGGGCTCTTCGGAGACACCTGGACTGGTCTGGACCCCCAGCTCCGCTACTCACCCCATGGGGTGCCTGCAGCCTCAGCTTCCCCACCTCCAAGGTGGGTGACCTAACTGCTCAGAGGCAATAAGAATAACCACAAAAAAGCCATTTTTTTGGCTGACCACTGATTTATACCAACCAATCTCACACGCACTGTTTCCAGCTCCAAATGACCGCGAGGCTATAAAGTGCACGGGGTCAAGGTAACGTACTTGAAGTTAATCATTAGTAAATGGGGGTGGGGTGAGGGGATCATTCCCATGATGGCAGGATCCTTCAATTCATACCAGGCACCTGCTGGATTTCTTGAGACAAGTACTCCTACCAGACTAAGAGTTTGCTTTTAAAAAGCAGATTTATCACAAGAAAGACAAATAGTGTATATATGAGTCTACTTATCTGAAGCAGGTAGTAGTAAATTCAGAGAGACAGAAAATGTGCTTTTCAGGGGCTGGGGAAAGAGGAAAAGGGGGAAGTTTGTGTTTCGTAGGTATGGAGTTTCAGTTTGGGAAGATGAAAAGGTTCTGGAGATGTTTCATGCTGGTGGTCGCACAACAATGCAAATGTATACTTAAGGCCCCTGATTCATACATTTAGAAATGGTTATGGTGGCAAATTTTCTATTATGTACATTTTACTGTAATGAAAAAAATTTAAAGAGTAAAAAAAAAAGGAATTTAAAAAATTAGATTTAAGGGGCAGTTGGGTGGCTCCGTCGTTAAGCGTCTGCCTTCGGCTCAGGTCATGATCCCAGGGGCCTGGGATCGAGCCCCGCATCGGGCTCCCTGCTCAGCGGGGAGTCTGCTTCTCCCTCTCCCACTCCCCCTGCTTCTCCCTCTGCCACTCCCCCTGCTTGTGTTCCCTCTCTCGCTGTGTCTCTCTCTGCCAAATGAATAAATAAAATCTTTTAAAAAAATTATAAATAAAAAAAAATTGGATTTAACGCATGCTCTTATTAACACATTTGGTCTCTTAAGTTCTATTTGTTGGACTGGCAGTTGGGATCCCAGAGGAAATGTTTCGGTCCCGTCGGCGCGACACTGAGCGTTTTTCACAGTCTCTGTGTCCAGTGTGAATGTAATAAAGTAAGGTGTGGGTCACATCAGGCTGTTCACATCGGGGGAGTCAGTGATTGAGAACAGGCTTCCGAATCAAAGGGCCTGAGTGGGCATTTCTGCCAGGCACCCTATGACGGACCCTGACAAGTCACTTCCCCTTGCTGAGCCCTTTTCTTCGACAGTAAAAGACAGAACATCACAGCACCTATCTGGTCTAGCTGGAGGGAGGATTAAAGGAACTAATCGACAGAAAGTCCCCCACCTCGTGCTCCGTGTCACCAACATCATCATCATTATCATTATTCTAGGAAGCAGAAACTCCACCTAGCTCTGTAGGGTTGGTGCTTCCTTTGAGTCACCCTTGGTGCTAGAAAAATACTGAAAACCTCAAGTAGTCTACTACTCCCTAACTCAGATTTATCTCCTGGCCAATCTACTCTAAAATTAAGAGCGCAAGAAGGAAAGAACTATGGCAAGAAAATTGTACTTAGAATTCGCAGGGCTGGTTTCTGCCCCTGGCTTGGCGACCTTCTCCCTTGCTCTCTGACCTTCGGCAGGTCAGCTGACCTCCTGGAAGCTTATTTCACCCAACCAGAAAGAAGGAAAAACACTCCATACCCAGGAGGGTAAGCTGAAGGATTTTATGTATGGTAAGAAATCTGTTACAATGTAAGAGGTGATTATAACTACTTCTCTGTCTTTCAGAGGTGCTGGTTTCCTGTTAAAATATGATGGTCTGGCCCATGCTGAGACTCGGGCACTGATTATATTTTCCCTACCTAAGTTATAGAGAACAACTATTTTAAAAACATGTGCACACACACTTGATATTCATGACAGGGGATTGTGTTACCATTGGTTTGAATGAATTTGAAAAAATAATTTTAAAAACCCATCAGATTTAATAGGCTATGTCATATAAACCCAGGCAGGCCACAATAAAGTACATGACCTTATCAATCTTTTCTAGTTCTCTAAAAAAAAAAACCGGTAGTGGGGGCACCTGGGTGACTCAGTCAGGTAAGCAGTTGCCTTCAGCTCAGGTCATGATCTCAGGGTCCTGAGATCGAGCCCCAAATCAGGCTCCTTGCTCGGTGGGGAGTCTGCTTGTCCCTCTCCCTTTGCCCCTCCCTGCTGCTTGTGCCCTCTCTCT